TTATTAAAAAAAAAAGACTTTGTCCAGCAATTTTTCGATAGCTTTGAGGGACATTTTACACATGCAGTTTGTGGAAGAACAGGGTCGATAAACGTTTTTCTTTACGCAATAGGCTCGCGGGGTGTTGGTAGAATTCGTGACGGTAACGCAAATCCTCAAAGGTGTTTCGGTTTTGGTTGTTTCATAATTTTTGATCCATGCTTATCCATGCCTACCGGGTACAACTAGATTGTTTATTGCAACTCACGCTTTTTGATAAGGGACAGCCTTGAACGACGTTTCAATAGATGAGACTGCGAAAACAAACTAACAAACAGACAATTGAAAAAACAAACATGACAAAACCCGCAGAACTTGACTGTCACGCAATCACAATAGCGTGACGGAGGAAACTTTGAGATTCTCATTCATCCTCTATAATTAAGTATAAAATATTTCCTCTAGGTTACTTTCATCTAAGTCTCCTCTTTTGATTTTAAACAATGTAGCGCAGTACAATCGATTCAATTTTACTTCTAGCTATGGCAGAAAGCAACCTCCCAACAACGGGAGAAGAACTGGAGGTGAAAAATGAGTTTCCAGCCTCAGGTGAGAAAAAGCAACAGGGAGAGACTTCGTTGTGGTGATTTTGTACTGTTTGTTAATTAAGTATATCTTAATTCTGGTGCACAATTTTTTGGATCAATTCGACTCGAAGGTTTTAAGGAATCCACTAAATACGCCAGTATTAGAACACTAGTTGTAATTGCACATAGTTGTGATCACTAGCAAAGTTGAAATATCTTCTCGGTAATTTCAGCGACAGAAGAAAGTCAAGTTACGTCAAGTGACGCTGAACTGGATGTATATAATGACCCTTTAAGAGGTGAGAAAACCATGTGCAATAAGATTGTTTAAAAGACGCCCCAGTAAACTTTTTGTCACATTTACATCAAAATTTGCGTATGTTCTGTGAATAAGTTTTTGAAACAGCAAAGGATTGTTTCTCCAAATTCTAACTCTTTTACCAGTAAAATGAAAAACCAAAGGAAAAAACAATTTACTGCTCGATCCGATCAGGTAAAATGCATAGACATCATTAATTATTCTAAGCAATAAAGCGACAAATTTGAAGGCGACTTAGCTTTGAAGAGCCCTAAGTTAAAGAATGGGCCAAAATTGGCCTACTAGGCTTCGTAAAACTCAGAATTCTGAGTTTTAGAAGTGCTTGTTTGTAAATCAACGCACAATGTTTTGGAGATTAACTATTTATCTAAAATTTACACCTAAAATGAACGATATTTGCAAAAGTATTATCCTTTTTGTACTTGAAATTATTCTAAATTTTGTCATTTTTTGTGTAAAAGTCATTTTCGGTAAGAGGGAGCTGTTGGTACCCGTAGACCTGTCAAAGTCAAGTTTTGAAAAATTTGCAAACGGGTAATTTTTTGAGGCCGCCAAAAGGAAAGTATTTGCGCTAACACCTTCCTGTCCTTTACTGTTCAATACATGTTTGGCAGAAATTTTACGCAATTTGAGAATTCTACAGAGAAGAGGAGGCATTTTTTTCTCGGCCGTATGGCCTGTTCTAGTCTTTTAAATATTTCACGCCTCTTTAAACAGTTATGTCAATACCAGGCCCACGCTGTAAACCACCAGCCAACAAAATGTAGAACCCCTGACTTTTATAACAGGCAAAATGGCACTTCGTGGGAAAGTGGTACTTTCCCAATCAAAACACGTTTTCCGGCGCTCTTTTTTGAAGGATGGGCAAACCACGAACTCTTGTCACTCTCAGCACGATGTTTCTTTTGTTATCAGAACATTAAAAATTTTTAACCCTTTTCGGTCCTGGCTTTGCTTTGCTTTATGCATTTTTTCTCAGTAACTTATGGGATTTTATATTCTAACTTGATATTTTGGAACTTGTAACGTAGGTGTAAAAGGAACTTTGGAAACCCTCTCGACTTAAGTGTAAACCGAACAGACTTGATCTGGTTATAACCGAAGCTACAGCTAAAACTCCAAATAGCTTGCATATTTTAAAGCAAACAAATTGCACAGACAAACTCTCCTGAAGGGCGATTGTAAAAGAAATTGAGTTGAAATAGGATCTCCTGGTGAAACTTGTAATATTTTGGAAAACGTAAGCCAGGTGTAAAAGGGGTTTGTGAAAGCCTTTCGACCTAAATGTGAACCGATAAACTTGAAATGGTAATAGCCAAGCTACAGCCCAGACTCTCGACAGCTTGCACACAAACAAAATGTACAGATATTAAACTATTCTGATCTTTTGCTTTTCGTAGCTCTACGCTCCTTTAACCTAAAAGTTCGTTTGGAAGTATAAAGTTGTAGTATGAAGTCGTATCACTCATTACTATATCATTAACACCAAAACTGTGTGCTTTCAGGGATAGCGAAAGTATGTCTCGAGGAAGGTAACAAAGAATACAGACAAGGAGAAGCTAATAACGCGATAAACTCCTACACGGAAGGACTTCAAGTGAACTGCAAAGATATACGGCTTAACGCCAAGCTTTATAGCAACAGGGCAACAGCTCATTTCCGTTTAGGTAAGAATTTCACATGTAAACATATAAGTCTGTCGTGCAGCGTTACAAGATAACGGAATACACAATCTACATCAAGAAAAGAAAAAAATTGAGGAACTGCAGAAAAGTAGCGTAAAAACGGCATAAATCGCCCTGTAGCGGATGAAAATTAAGCAAAGAAATGATCCTCGTTACATTTTAAGCAATTGTAATTTTTAAGGCTTCTTTGTTGCAATTGCGTGTGATTACCTCTTTTTTAAACCTTCTTTCCGGAATCTCATAGCCAACTACGTGGAATGTCTCAATGATACAACAGTTGCCATTCAATTGGAACCCACTTTAATCAAGGCTATTAAGAAAGGTGGGTTTTTCAGACATAAGCCATCAACATTCTATTCTTTGATTTCGTCAAAAGAGGATTGTTCCGTTTGTGGCAGGTAACTGTACTCCAAGTGTCAATTGTATCTGGTGTGTCAATGTCTGTGATGTGAGTAAAAAGCACAAGAAAATGTCAATAAACTCTCAAATACCGCTGCCTGGTTAGTTCACAATATAGAGCGCTGGAGGTCGAGGGTTCAAGCCCTAGACTGGACCATCACCCTGAGTCTTAAAATATCTGAGAACAATGTGCTACCGTCTAAGCTGTGACATCTGCAAATGGTTTGATATTCTTGTCCTGGATATGGGTGGAAATCCGTGAGCCCCGTTTCCTGCATCTTCTCGGTCACTCTTAGCAGGGGACGTTACAAAGCCCGGGCAGGAGGCGCCTGAAAAATTCCCTTTCAAAAGTTAACTGCTCAATGCAGTCTGCCCGAAAACTTCCCGAAAAGTGCTGAAAAGCGCTAAAGTGCATATTAAAATGAAGAAAGCGCGAGATAAATTCATCGTTATCATCATCAATTGAAGGTTAATTGGTAGCCGCTTTGCATTAGCTCCTTATTGTTCATTTTCAGTTCTTCCACAAGTTCAAATTTCCTTCATTATCACAATTTTTGTTCCCAGCTAAATGGGAAATTAAGTCCATTTTATCGATACGTTTATACCTTAACAGTAATAAATTACCTCGCACCACCAGTTATTCTCTCCTTTTCAGGAGCTAGAGCTTGTGTCGAACTTTGCTGGTATAAAGAAGCAAGGAGCTGGTTGCATATGGGATTGACCGTATCCTTTGACGAATGTTTCAAACGTGATACGAGATGCAATGCGAATAATATTTCAAGAGAAATCAATACGTTCCAGGCAGATTCTTCTACACATAATGCAAGCGATGTTCTCTTATACTGCACTGAGCAGTTTAAAGAGGCTGAAATATTATTAACGAGTTCTTTCGATTATTCCACGAAACTTTACTTAAAAGAAGAGGCCATATTAACTAATTCCCAGAGTTTCTGCTAAATGCCCCTCATTTTTGTCTTGAGACGAGCATCACCATGACGACCGAACTTAAACTAAAAATGCGCTTCAGAGCTAGTTAACACTCTCGAATAACTTGAAATCAAATCTCTTCAAGAAATCCACGCTCGAATTTTCATTCCAATTTTAAAGTTTATCCAATACTCTCATTATTATTAAAACAAACATTTCCATTGCATTTTCGCAAGTCCACCGATGATTTAGCTATCCTTGACACGTTTTAAGATTGAAAACAATAACGAACGTCTGCTTCAATTATTAAAGAAATCGAATGCTGTACTAACAGTCAAAGCAAACACTTATGCCAGTCTCGGATGTACTTACCATAATGTTGGGCAGTTCAACACAGCCATTAAGTGCCATCAACGTCATCTAGAAATTGCTAAAGAAGTGGGAGACAAGGCCGGAGAGGGAATCAGTTATGGCAATCTCGGCAACGCTTATCACAGTCTAGGAGAGTTCAAAACAGCCATCAAGTACCATCAACGTCATCTAGAAATTGCTAAAGAAGTGGGAGACAAGGCCGGAGAGGGAATCAGTTATGGCCATCTCGGCAACGCTTATCACAGTCTAGGAGAGTTCAAAACAGCCATCAAGTACCATCAACGTCATCTAGAAATTGCTAAAGAAGTGGGAGACAAGGCCGGAGAGGGAAGAAGTTATGGCGGTCTCGGCAACGCTTATCACCGTCTAGGAGAGTTCAAAACAGCCATCAAGTACCATCAACGTCATCTAGAAATTGCTAAAGAAGTGGGAGACAAGGTCGGAGAGGGAATCAGTTATGGCAATCTCGGCAACGCTTATCGATGTCTAGGAGAGTTCAAAACAGCCATCAAGTACCATCAACGTCATCTAGAAATTGCTAAAGAAGTGGGAGACAAGGCCGGAGAGGGAATCAGTTATGGCAGTCTCGGCAACGCTTATCACCGTCTAGGAGAGTTCAAAACAGCCATCAAGTACCATCAACGTCATCAAGAAATTGCTAAAGAAGTGGGAGACAAGGCCGGAGAGGGAAGAAGTTATGGAAATCTCGGCAACGCTTATGACAGTCTAGGAGAGTTTAAAACAGCCATTAAGTACCATCAACAATGTCTAGAAATTGTTAAAGAAGTGGGAGACAAGGCCGGAGAGGGAAGAAGTTATGGCAATCTCGGCAACGCTTATCGATGCCTAGGAGAGTTCAAAACAGCCATCAAGTACCATCAACGTCATCTAGAAATTGCTAAAGAAGTGGGAGACAAGGCCGGAGAGGGAAGAAGTTATGGAAATCTCGGCAACGCTTATCACAGTCTAGGAGAGTTCAAAACAGCCATCAAGTACCATCAACGTCATCTAGAAATTGCTAAAGAAGTAGGAGACAAGGCCGGAGAGGGAGCAAGTTATGGCAATCTCGGCAACGCTTATGAAAGTCTAGGAGAGTTTAAAACAGCCATTAAGTACCATCAACAATGTCTAGAAATTGTTAAAGAAGTGGGAGACAAGGCCGGAGAGGGAATCAGTTATGGCAATCTCGGCAACGCTTATCGATGTCTAGGAGAGTTCAAAACAGCCATCAAGTACCATCAACGTCATCTAGAAATTGCTAAAGAAGTGGGAGACAAGGCCGGAGAGGGAGCAAGTTATGGCAGTCTCGGCAACGCTTATCACAGTCTAGGAGAGTTCAAAACAGCCATCAAGTACCATCAACGTCATCAAGAAATTGCTAAAGAAGTGGGAGACAAGGCCGGAGAGGGAAGAAGTTATGGCAATCTCGGCAACGCTTATCGATGTCTAGGAGAGTTCAAAACAGCCATCAAGTACCATCAACGTCATCTAGAAATTGCTAAAGAAGTGGGAGACAAGGCCGGAGAGGGAATCAGTTATGGCAGTCTCGGCAACGCTTATCACCGTCTAGGAGAGTTCAAAACAGCCATCAAGTACCATCAACGTCATCAAGAAATTGCTAAAGAAGTGGGAGACAAGGCCGGAGAGGGAGCAAGTTATGGCAATCTCGGCAACGCTTATGACAGTCTAGGAGAGTTCAAAACAGCCATCAAGTACCATCAACGTCATCTAGAAATTGCTAAAGAAGTAGGAGACAAGGCCGGAGAGGGAGCAAGTTATGGCAATCTCGGCAACGCTTATGAAAGTTTAGGAGAGTTTAAAACAGCCATTAAGTACCATCAACAATGTCTAGAAATTGTTAAAGAAGTGGGAGACAAGGCCGGAGAGGGAAGAAGTTATGGCAATCTCGGCAACGCTTATCGATGCCTAGGAGAGTTTAAAACAGCCATTAAGTACCATCAACAATGTCTAGAAATTGTTAAAGAAGTGGGAGACAAGGCCGGAGAGGGAAGAAGTTATGGCAATCTCGGCAACGCTTATCGATGTCTAGGAGAGTTCAAAACAGCCATCAAGTACCATCAACGTCATCTAGAAATTGCTAAAGAAGTGGGAGACAAGGCCGGAGAGGGAAGAAGTTATGGCAATCTCGGCAACGCTTATGACAGTCTAGGAGAGTTCAAAACAGCCATCAAGTACCATCAACGTCATCTAGAAATTGCTAAAGAAGTGGGAGAGAAGGCCGGAGAGGGAGCAAGTTATGGCAATCTCGGCAACGCTTATGAAAGTCTAGGAGAGTTTAAAACAGCCATCAAGTACCATCAACAATGTCTAGAAATTGCTAAAGAAGTGGGAGACAAGGCCGGAGAGGGAAGAAGTTATGGCAATCTCGGCAACGCTTATCGATGTCTAGGAGAGTTCAAAACAGCCATCAAGTACCATCAACGTGATCTAGAAATTGCTAAAGAAGTGGGAGACAAGGCCGGAGAGGGAGCAAGTTATGCCAATCTCGGCAACGCTTATCGAAGTCTAGGAGAGTTCAAAACAGCCATCAAGTACCATCAACGTCATTTAGAAATTGCTAAAGAAGTGGGAGACAAGGCCGGAGAGGGAAGAAGTTATGGCCATCTCGGCAACGCTTATCACTGTCTAGGAGAGTTCAAAACAGCCATCAAGTACCATCAACGTCATCTAGAAATTGCTAAAGAAGTGGGAGACAAGGCCGGAGAGGGAATCAGTTATGGCAGTCTCGGCAACGCTTATCACCGTCTAGGAGAGTTCAAAACAGCCATCAAGTACCATCAACGTCATCAAGAAATTGCTAAAGAAGTGGGAGACAAGGCCGGAGAGGGAGCAAGTTATGGAAATCTCGGCAACGCTTATGACAGTCTAGGAGAGTTCAAAACAGCCATCAAGTACCATCAACGTCATCTAGAAATTGCTAAAGAAGTAGGAGACAAGGCCGGAGAGGGAGCAAGTTATGGCAATCTCGGCAACGCTTATGAAAGTCTAGGAGAGTTTAAAACAGCCATTAAGTACCATCAACAATGTCTAGAAATTGTTAAAGAAGTGGGAGACAAGGCCGGAGAGGGAAGAAGTTATGGCAATCTCGGCAACGCTTATCGATGTCTAGGAGAGTTCAAAACAGCCATCAAGTACCATCAACGTGATCTAGAAATTGCTAAAGAAGTGGGAGACAAGGCCGAAGAGGGAAAAAGTTATGCCAATCTCGGCAACGCTTATTACTGTCTAGGAGAGTTCAAAACAGCCATCAAGTACCATCAACGTCATCTAGAAATTGCTAAAGAAGTGGGAGACAAGGCCGGAGAGGGAAGAAGTTATTGCCATCTCGGCAACGCTTATCACAGTCTAGGAGAGTTCAAAACAGCCATCAAGTACCATCAACGTCATCTAGAAATTGCTAAAGAAGTGGGAGACAAGGCCAGAGAGGGAATCAGTTATGGCAATCTCGGCAACGCTTATCTCAGTCTAGGAGAGTTCAAAACAGCCATCAAGTACCATCAACGTCATCTAGAAATTGCTAAAGAAGTGGGAGACAAGGCCGGAGAGGGAATCAGTTATGGCAATCTCGGCAACGCTTATCGCAGTCTAGGAGAGTTCAAAACAGCCATCAAGTACCATCAACGTGATCTAGAAATTGCTAAAGAAGTGGGAGACAAGGCCGGAGAGGGAGCAAGTTATGGCAATCTCGGCAACGCTTATGACAGTCTAGGAGAGTTCAAAACAGCCATCAAGTACCATCAACGTCATCAAGAAATTGCTAAAGAAGTGGGAGACAAGGCCGGAGAGGGAAGAAGTTATAACGGTCTCGGCAACGCTTATCACCGTCTAGGAGAGTTCAAAACAGCCATCAAGTACCATCAACGTCATCAAGAAATTGCTAAAGAAGTGGGAGACAAGGCCGGAGAGGGAGCAAGTTATAGCAATCTCGGCAACGCTTATGAAAGTCTAGGAGAGTTTAAAACAGCCATTAAGTACCATCAACAATGTCTAGAAATTGCTAAAGAAGTGGGAGACAAGGCCGGAGAGGGAACAAGTTATGGCAATCTCGGCAACGCTTATCACAGTCTAGGAGAGTTCAAAACAGCCATCAAGTACCATCAACGTGATCTAGAAATTGCTAAAGAAGTGGGAGACAAGGCCGGAGAGGGAGGAAGTTATGGCAATCTCGGCAACGCTTATCACAGTCTAGGAGAGTTCAAAACAGCCATCAAGTACCATCAACGTCATCTAGAAATTGCTAAAGAAGTGGGAGACAAGGCCGGAGAGGGAGGAAGTTATGCCAATCTCGGCAACGCTTATGACAGTCTAGGAGAGTTCAAAACAGCCATCAAGTACCATCAACGTCATCTAGAAATTGCTAAAGAAGTGGGAGACAAGGCCGGAGAGGGAAAAAGTTATGCCAATCTTGGCAACGCTTATCGCAGTCTACGAAAGTTTAAAACAGCCATCGAGTACCATCAACGTCATCTAGAAATTGCTAAAGAAGTAGGAGATAAGGCCGGAGAGGGAAGAAGTTATGGCGGCCTCGGCAACGCTTACCAAGGTCTACGACAGTTCAAAACAGCAATGGAGTACCATCAACGTCATCTAGAAATTGCTAAAGAAGTGGGAGACCAGGCCGGAGAGGGAGCAAGTTATGGCAATCTCGGCAACGCTTATGGCAGTCTAAGAAAGTTTAAAACAGCCATCGAGTACCATCAACGTCATCTTGAAATTGCTAAAGAAGTGGGAAATAAGACCGTAGAAGCGTGCTCACTCTATTCCCTTGGAAACAATTTTGAGTGCCAAGGAAATCTTATGGTGGCCTTTGACTGTTATTACTCGAGTGTAGAATTGTATGATGATATCAGGGCCAGTCTTCAACTCAACGATCAGTGGAAGATTTCTTATCGTAATAAGTACCAAGGTGCATACAAAGGTTTATGGCGTATAAATCTCAATCGAGGTCAAGCTGTAAAGGCTCTTCTTGCCGCAGAGAAAGGAAGTGCTCAAGCTCTGAGAGATCTCATGGACACAAAATATTCGCCTGGAGCTTCTTTAACGCACAGCGCACCCCGCATTTCTCTGAGATGTGTTCAATTGAGCACAGTTTTCATAGCTATCAATGGGCCATGCGTTTACTTCTGGGTTTGCCTTAGTGAAGATAACATCCATACGAGACAGGTACACGTCAACGACTATAGGTTTGAGCATGAATTGAAATGTTTCATCCAGCTACTGAACAAATCTGCTCTTAAGGAGATCGGTGCAAGAGATACTGTTGCCATCGAAAATCCTCTGCTTGATTCGCCGACAGAAGAAGAAATGGCCAATGGTGTGATCCAAGTTGATGTGAGGCACTCCCAATCAAGTGCTTTAAATAAGCTGCATGACATCATCGTTTCTCCTATTGCTGACCTGATCAAAGGCAACGACGAGATCACATTCGTTCCTGAGGGGCCGTTTTGCCTTGTACCTTATGCAGCATTGCAGGAGTCGAACTCATCATATTTATGTGATTCTTTCAGAATTCGTGTGCTTCCATCTCTGACGACGTTGCAACTAATTCATGATTGTCCAGCTGACTTTCACGTGAAGACTGGTGCATTGCTTGTCGGTGACCCATGTTTCAAACATATCATCTATGAGGGAGGACTTTTAGTGCAACTTCCAGGAGCAAGGAAAGAAGTGGAGATGATCGGCCGTGTCCTTAATGTTTGCCCCCTCACTGGAGAAATGGCAACAAAAGATGAAGTGTTAAAACGAATATCATCAGTGGCCTTAGTTCACATAGCAGCGCACGGTAAAATGGAAACTGGAGAAGTTATCCTGGCAGCAAACACCACAAGACAAAACCCTCATCCGCAAGAGAAAGACTATCTACTGACGATGAAAGATGTCATAGAAGCTGGGTTGCGAGCACGTCTGGTTGTACTTAGCTGCTGTCACACTGCTCGTGGGGAGGTCATGGCTGAGGGTGTGGTCGGCATGGCGCGTGCACTTTTGGGTGCCGGTGCTAGATCTGTTGTGGTAACCTTGTGGGCGATTGGCGACGAGGGGACCCTGGAGTTCATGACTTTCTTCTACGATGCACTTGCCAAAGGCAAGAAGGCAAGTGAAGCTCTCAATCAGGCCATGAAGTGTATGAGAGAAATTGAAAAGTTCAAGGAGGTGATTTACTGGGCACCATTTGTACTCATTGGTGATGACGTCAAACTAGATTTCAAGGATATTGGAAGCCGAAACAAGTAAATATTCTGTTTATACATTCTATTCAATACAAAGTTACCTTAAATCATAATTATAGCTTATGTATGAGCAGTGATACTTGCGTGTTATTTTCCTTTCAGTTGGCTTACGAATTTAGTTTTTGCTCCTGCAAATTGAGATGCAGTACAATCAAGTGGACACGTTTACGATGATGACATTCTTGTTAGGAAACATAATGGGAGTAAAAAAGCAAATTTCTTTTAAAACAATGCTGTTGTGCAATGTATCGTTTCCGCATGTGCTAGGAAATATTTCTTGGAAACTCAACCATCCTCCCTAAACTTAGCTTTTTTTTATTTTTCAGTTAAGGCAGTGAGCACTGGAATCCCAGAGTGTTTTCGGATACCTGCGAACGCTGATATTTGAACCAGAAACCAGTAAGCTACTTATGAATCTTTCTCAACAGTCTTCTTTTCAAAGCAAGAAGAACCAAAAGACGGCCAAAGTCAAGTTTAACAAGAGAACGGATTTCCTTTGATTCAAAAGTTGACTTTTTGCTTGACTGAACTGCTCTTTAGAGCTTAATCTTTGATGTTCTGCTGAAACAACTGTTTTTTTTTTCATATGATATCTTGAAATTATCATGACCAGTTATGTAAAAAGTTAATTTTTAATCTAAGTATTACTTACTCGGCCGATTGAGGCGTTGCATTTACGTCGAAGTTGAAACGTCTTGGAAACGTTTTCCACAGTTTTTTTTAGACTTTTTCTCAATCGGTTTCTTTCTCATGAGTGATGTAAAGCTGTTATAGCCATGTGCATGTGTGGAGAATTTCTATGGAAATTGGAGAATAACTAGTTGTCCGATTGCTCGATTATCTAGTTTATATCAGATGGAAATTGTGATTAACTTTTCGAGGATTTGTACCCAGTCATTGGTACTTAAAGTTAGTTTCTGCCGATCAGAATTTGGTTTATCTGGACTTAAAATGACAGATTTTGGCCGTAATGGCCAGGATTTAGTTCTTGGTATCAGTTAATTTTCTGAGATTTCTCCTTTAAGTGGCGATCTCTCTAATAGCGTCCAGGGCATTTCGCATCGTAACAAAGTTTTCCCTCAAACTTTGCCCAATAATCTATCTTTGAAGGAAAGTGTGCGCTGTTATCGCCGGTTACACCAGATAAAATCCTGTAGTTTGGTTCTGGAATGTTGATACAGGTTGAATAACATAAGCTGTCAGAACTCAAATATGAAATAACAGAAGCTAATTTCTTAAAAAAGAGATTGTCATTAAAAGGTTGACTGAACGCAAATCAAATTATGATATTCGATACGTTGTTGTTGAAGTCTTTCGACACAAGATAGTAAAAATTTGTCAAATTTGGGCCTTTTAAAATGTTAAGAGTATCAATCAGTGTGGTCTAAAAGCTCTGTCCTACTATATTTTCAACTTAAAATGGTTAAAATCTAAGATTTATTGAGCTACTTATATAAAACGGTCGGAGAACTAATTTGCATAATCGGCTGTCACCGTAGCAAAATCGCTAAACGTTTGAAGTCACCACGGCGAAGAAAATTAATAAGTGCAGGATGTTTTTATATTTTTCTGCTGCTAAACATCTTATTAGAAGAAATCAAGCGGAGTTTTCAATGGTCTGGTCTGGACTTGAGCAATATCAACCAAGAAAGAAAGAGTACTTTTGACCATTTTCAGAAAGCTGTCTAACGAGTGTTTTTAAGTAAATTATGACGAACCTCTAAAGAAGCGAAAATCAAAATTGAAATGCTTTTTTTAAACCTTACATATCACAAAGCTTAAGAACACAAAGATGCATGCGGTGTGATACGAGGACCAGGCTTTTTAACTTTAATTTTCGATGTCGCAAGCGTTCAAAAAAGGGCCTTTTGCAGCTTTGACTGTTGAGGGCTCTAAAAATTTTATTTTAACGTATTTCCAGAAACCAATGTGGTTTTATTTACTTGCTACTAAGGATAGATTATTAGGCAGAGTTTGAGGGAAAACTTTGTTCCGATGCGAAATGCCCTGGACCGCTCTTACAGGGATCGCTACTTAATTTTGAATGCGATTAATTGTGTTATTTTTTACAAGAAGAACGATGCATTTTAAGTATATTGCGTAATCTAATCTCCAAAGGAAAAACGAGAAGTTTTATTTCATAATTTTAGTTACTGACCTACAAAGTATTGAAGGAAGCTCAGAACGAGCTGGAAAGTTGGAGCCAAACGATTTTATTTAGTTACTCGGATTAGATTTTTGCTTATTATCTCAGTACAATAAACTAACATTTGAATGTCAAAACAATTATTAACTTTTCGAGGATTTGTACCCAGTCATTGGTACTTAAAGTTAGTTTCTGCCGATCAGAATTTGATTTATCTGGAGTTAAATGACAGATTTTGGTCGTAATGGCCAGGATTTAGTCTTGGTATTAGTTAATTTACTCAGATTGCTCCTTTAATTTTGAATGCGATAAATTGTGTTATTTTTTTACAAGCAGAACGATGCATTTTAAGTATATTGTTGAAACTAATCGTCCAAAGGCAAAACGACAAGTTTTATTTTATAATTTTAGTTATGGCTTACAAAGAATTGAAGGAAGCTCAGAATGAGCTGAAAAGTTGGAGCCAAATGATTTTATTTAGTTTCTCTGATTAGATTGTTTCTTTGCTATCTAAGTACAATAAACTAACATTTGAATGTCAAACAATGAAACAAGTCGCTTGGTATTTTGTTAGAATGGAAGACGAAATCAATGACAAAGGAAGGAAAATTTCTGCATCAACCTGCATAAGCCATTTCTTGTCGTTTGAAGTAGTATTCGCTTAATAACTTTTGCCCATTTCTTTGAATAAGTTTACTGAATGAGAGATAAACTTCGATATTTTCTGACTCTATAACTGCTAATATCGATCACTGGCAACCGTTTCTTGGGATGTCACGCGACGCACTTCTTTAGCACGTTATGTGACAGATATGATGTTTTGTCACATCTTTTCTTTTGGAGTAGTGAGCGCACCTATGTCTTATTCGCTCGATCTTCCCATTTCCTTGGATAGAGTTATTAAATGAGATATTAACTTCGATATTTTCAGATTTTATATCTGCCAGTTTCATTGGCAGCCGTTCCTCAGGATGTCACGCGACGCGCTTTTTTAGCATGGAAAGCGACATGATGTTTATATATTGTCGAAGAGGCAAGAAAAAAGAAATTTCCTTTTTATTTTGGGAGATGGTGCTTTATTCTGTTTATAGAAAGCGTCCTCATCATGGGAGGTACCCTAGGTCGGTATGGCGCGTCGAGTGTAGAAAATATTGATGATTTTTTTTTTCCACGATAGCAAACTTAACTAAAACAGCCTGTTAAAAAAACCAAACTTTCTTAAAACTGAGGGCCGACCGATAAGAACTTTTAATGGCTAACGGTTAAAATTGTGGCCATTTTTCTGCCGCGGCTAGTCCAGAATAACACTAAATAACTCATTGTAGGAAGGAGAGTTTTTTAAAGTTAATTTTTTCTACAACTAAGAGTTAAAACTGTTCAATTTTTACGCCTAACAGCTAGTTTTTTGACCGATATACGGCTAACGGTTAACCCCATGGAAACCCTCGACTGGGTGACATGCAAGATGTAAAACGATTTTAGAAGGTGGCATTTGCAACTCGAATTAAGAGTGATGGTTTTTGAGGAGTAAGGAAAACCGGGAAAAACAAGCCGTGGAAAAATCCTGGAAATAAAGATCAACCTGGGAGAGACGGGCATGGGAAGAGCGTTGTCGCTACGCATTCCTGTTATGTGCAATCTGAGATGCTTAATGAAGTTAACGCGAGATATTCACCGATGTGAAGGCGAGCAAGGATAAATTTTCTTCCCCCTTTAAAGACCTTGTACCGGATCCGAAAAGTCAGTAAGCCCTGATATTTTGACTTCACCCCAGATCTAACAAACTGCGACAACTTAGATGTTTTATTAGGAGTTCGCTGCTGACGATAGCATATATTACAATCATTTACGAAAAAGAGCCATGGGGAGGGGGGAGGGGTGGGTCAAGTTTCCCTTTATCCACCCGGGCTGGGAGTGTGAATAGCTACGTGTTTTCAAGGGTAGCATCACAGGTGGGGTTCACAAGAATCTTAGAGTGACGATTTTAGAAGGTAAAGATAAGAATTTTCCTGAATTGCTGGACTTAATAGGCTTCTTTCGTCTGCTTAGACTTTCTCTTCGTGCTCCATAGCCCTACTCCATCTACCCATCTTACAGCAGTTTTGAGAATATAACACACAGGTGAATAGTGCTTTTTGCGTGGGCTGTTGGTTTGGTGTTTATCGCCTGCGCGCGTATTTACACACGTAGTGGTTTTTAGTATATACCACATTGGTGAATAGAGCTCTTCACGTCGGCTGGTCGGCTAATTCGGAATGAATAGTCGAACCTGTATTAAGCGGTTGACTGTTAAATTCGCGAATTTTGTGGTCATCCTTGACTCAGTCCCATCGGCCTGTTCGGGTTGTGCGGAACGGTCACTTAGGGCGGAAGCACTCGAATAAAACGACGAATTGTCTCTGAAGTAAAATTTATTCCATGTTTGTCTCCTAAAATAAATGTTAGTATTTAGAGTTCAAATGTCCTCAACGCATTGCAGATTATCTTTCTTCTTAGGACTATTTGTATCTGACAAATATTACGCAAGAAAATTACGCAAATCATTTGCTGGGTAATTACCAAGAGGTCTAACTGTTAGAATTCTGATTTATTGTTCTGTTTTTACGGGGCATCATCATTTTGTTGAGGTTATTTGATACATTTTTGAGCGATTTTTTAAAATAAACTTAACATTAAAATGATAAATTATGGTTTAAAATGTTGTTTTCTTGTCTTTTGTTGTTAACCTGTATTAAATGGTGATAACAATCAGTTACGGGTTTAAAACGGTTGCTCGATTGTACCGTCTTCTTGTGAAAGAATGAAATGGTTAGTTAAAAGACAAAAAGACGAGTTCCCTGATGTCATTACCCTCTGGA